ACTGTCTTCGAGCAATTCCAAAGCGTACTTTCTCTGATTGAGAAAAATGCCGTGAGTGGATCTGGCAACTTCTAGACCAAGAAAATATTTTAGCCTACCAAGGTCCCTGATTTTGAAAGTGGAATCAAGGAAGCATTTGACATATTCGATTTCCTGCAAATCATTACCGGCTAAGACAATATCATCAACATAGACTAATAAAACAGTAAAAGAAGAGTCATGTGATTTTGTGAAAAAGGAATGATCAGCAGAAGAATATGAGTAGCCAAGAGAGATAAGGGCAGTGGATAATTTCGAAAACCACTGTCTGCTAGCCTGCTTCAGGCCATATAGTGACTTATGTAGTTTGCAAACTTTGTTGGTCGAAGAAGTGCCAACTTTGTTGGTCGAAGAAGTGCTAACTTCGTTGGTCAAAGAGGTGCAAACTTCGTTGGTCGAAGGAGTGCAAACTTTGTTGGTCGAAGGAATGCAAACTTTGTTGGTCGAAGAAGTGCAGAATTCGTTGCTCGAAGTGCAAACTTTGTTGGTCAAAGAATTGTAGACTTCGTTGGTCGAAGAAGAAGGAAGCATGAATCCAGGAGGCAGATCCATATACACTTCCTCATGTAGATCACCATGAAGGAAGACATTGTTGACGTTAAGTTGTTCCAAGTGCCAATTCTTAATGGCAGCCACTGAGAGAAGGGTTCGAATAGAAGTAAGCTTCGCAACAGGTGAGAAAGTGTCAAAATAATCCACCCCCTCCAGCTGAGTATATCCTTTCTCTACTAAACGTGCCTTGTATCGTTCGATGGATCCATCAGCATGATGCTTGATTTTGTAGACCCATTTGCAACCAATCGATTGTTTGCCTGCAGGCAAATCAACAACAGACCAAGTATTTGTAGATTCAAGAGCATCTAACTCAGATTTCATAGCATTGTTCCAACAATCAAATTTGCATGCTTGTTTATAGGTTTTTGGTTCTGTGAAAGAACTTATGGATAGACAAAATAATTTGTGATCAGGACTACATTGGCTATAAGATAATACAAAAGAGAGAGGGTAGTTAGAGGAACCTGAGTCAGATGCTGGCAGCATGGGGGATAGCAAATTGCAATGATAATCTGAAAGATAAGCTGGAGGTTTACTATTTCGATTGGATTTTCTGGTTGGCACAGGAGGGGAGGGGCAAGGGGAGTTGTTAGTGTCATTCGAGGAAGAAGAGAGGTTAGTGGGAGATTCTGGATGGGGGAGAGAGGTAGGAGAGGAAGGTTCATGTGATGGTGGAGGTAAGTTGGGTGGAATGTTGGTGAAAATATCAGGTGAATCAATCGAAGGAGGGTCAGGAGTAGGAATTATAGGATTAGGTGCAGGTGGGATGGATACAAAAGGGAACACAGTTTCATAAAAGAATACATTCCTTGAAATGTAAAATTCATGTGTGATAGGATCATATAGAAGGTAGCCTTTTGTGCCTTCCCTGTAGCCAAGGAAAATAGATTTCCTTGCTCTTGGTTCGAATTTAGTGCGATGGTTAAGCAAGGTCGAAGAATAGGCAAGACAACCAAAGACTCTCATATGGCTAAGGCTGGGAGGAATAGAATGGAGTGTTTGGTATGGAGAGTGGTTGTTTAAAAGAGGAGTGGGAAGACGGTTTATAATATGAATGGCATGTTGTATGGAAAGGTGCCAACGGTTGTGAGGGAGGTGAGAGTGGAAAGAGAGGGCACGGGCAACATTCAAAATGTGTTGATGTTTTCTTTCCACTATACCATTCTGTTGAGGCGTTTCCACACAAGACCTTTGATGAATGATTCCTTTAGAAAGGTAGAAAGTGGTCATAAGAAACTCAGGGCCATTATCACTTCGAATGCACTTGAGTTTCTTGTTAAATTGAGTTTCGATAAAGGATATGAAGTGAATTAAATGGTTTCTGGTTTCACTTTTGTTGGCCATAAAAATTGTCCAAGTAAACCTGCTGTAATCGTCTACAAGCGTTAAAAAATACTTGTGGCCACATATCGAAGGTGTGGAAAGAGGGCCCCAAATATCAACATGAAGTAAATCGAAGATGGCAACAAACTTAGTATTACTGTGAGTAAAGGGCAAATGTTTTTGCTTAGCCAAATGACAAGTGTTACAGGGCTTATGATTGTCATTGTAGGTGACAAAAGGAAATTGAGAGGAAATACATTTGTGTATGTAGGGACTTAAGTGTCCAAGCCTAAGAGGCCAAATAGTAGCAGGATCAAATTGGGGAGAAGAGGAGGTGTTGACAGATCCAGATGTGGGAGAGATGGTTTTAGGTGGGGTGGCATCAAGAACATACAATTTGCCAATCCTCCTAGCTATAAATCCAGACATCTTGAATTGGGGCAACTGCATAATTTGACAGCAATTAGGAGAAAATTTCACATCATATAAAGTGGAGTCAAAAAGAGTGGTGACAGAAATAATATTGACATGAAATGAAGGAAAGTAATAAACATTGTGAAGGACAAGTGAACCACATAGTAAAACTGAACCAGCAGTAGTTGTAGTGACAGAGTCACCATTAAGCATTGTCATAGATTTAGGTGCAATGTGATATGTGGAAACGAAACTGTCAAAGGTATGAGTGATGTGATCAGTGGTACCTGTGTCAATGATCCACCAGTTATGACAAGGAAGATTTGAGGAATTCTTACCAGAGGAATTCTTACCAGAGGTATTGGACACAGAATTAGCAGTATACACTGAATTAATCGAGGGAAGTGAAGGAGATTGCAAATTAGATTGTTGGAGGAGCTGCAGAATCTGAGTGTATTGCTCTTGAATTGTAGACAAAGCACTTGGACTGGTGTTTGATGTGGATGTAGCATCTTGAATCGAATTCACTGTAGAATCAGTAGAATTCCCCACAGATGTAGTAGGCTTGCGTTGTTGAAATCCAGGGGGATAGCCATGTTTCAAGAAGCAAGTCTCAATGGTGTGATTGGTGCGGTTGCAATGGGTACATAGCCTGTTTCCACGGCCACCACGGCCACGTCCATGACCAGTGTTGTGAGAAGAACGAGAAGGTGCTTGAGAAAGGTGATTCACAAATGATTGAGACTCAATCGAAGAAGCAGAAGGTGAAAGAAGGTCGAATTGACGTTCTTATTGAAGAACCAGATTAAACACATTGTCAAGAGTTGGTAGTGGTTTCATCAGCATAATTTGGGATCGGACATTAGCGTATTGGTCACCAAGGCCCTTCAAGAACTTGATAACTTTATCTTGTTCTTTGAATTTGCGTAAGTCTGAAGCAGCACCACAAGAGCACGGTATAGCGCAAGTACAATCACGAATTGGCCGGAAGTTCTCAATTTCTTCCCAAAGCGTCATCAATTTTGTGAAGAACGAAGAGACATCAAGAGTTCCTTGTTGAAGACGAGCAACACTTTCTTGAATGTTAGCAATTCGAAAAATATCTCCCTGAGAAAAACGATTTTCCAAACTTTTCCATACAAGAGAAGCACGATCATACCATAGAAGAGATTTGGCAATTTCCTCAGAAATCGAGCGTTGATGCCATGAGAGGACGAGATTGTTGCATCGCAGCCAAGGTTCGTATAAAGAATCAGAGGTAGGGGGAGGAGAAAGAGTGCCATCAACGAATTTGATCTTGTTCTTGGAGATAAGAGCTACTTTTATTGATCTAGACCAGATCTGGTAGTTCTTGGTATCAAGAACAGGTTGAACAAGAACAAGAGAGGGATTTTCATTAGGGTGCATGTAGTAAAGATTGGAAGGATTGGTAGCAAAATCAGAGTAAGGAAGCGCCATAACAAACACTGAAACAACAAGGGAAGAAGAGGGGAAACGTTGAAACAGCAAGGGAAGAAGAAGAAGAAGGCGCGAAGAAGAAAGGCGCGGAAAAGAGAATTCAAACTGATACCATGTTAATTTTAGAATAAACTCATAGTTTTCATTATGATTTGGAATGTACAAAACAACATTATTTATACTGTTAAAGTAACAAACTGTTTAGTAACAAACTAAACAGAATTGTAACAAACTATAACAAACTAAAACTAACTGTTTAGTAATAAACTAAACAGTATTATTTTCATCATGTAATAATTACCTCATATTGTGTAACTTGCAGACACCACCTTGGACAACTAAAGAGAAAGACCTGCATTTGGGAGGCTTGTCGAGGAACTACAGAGACAAAAAATGATTAAAAATGTTCATGTATGTTTTGTTCTTATTCTTAGTTTTTTCTTCCAATATATTCATTAGCTCCTTCCCAACATGACATAGACTCTAGATTCAAATAGAAAAGAGAAAAATCTAGAAGTAGAGAAAATGTTGGGTTTAGAGTATTTAGAGTTTTTTTAGAGAAAAAAACAAAGAGAGGAAAATAATTTAGGGTAAGAGGGAAATTCAAGTGGTAGGGTACGGTTTATTTAGCTTTAATAAATGCAATTCTATTTTAGATGCTCAAAACTTAAATTCAATAGGTCTCTTAGGGTAGAAATGCACTTTTATCTATTATTAATATATAAACTTTAAAGTATTTGGAAATTCAATATATGTCTTCTAATTATAATTAATTTTTAATCTAATTATTAAGGGTATATTAGTCTTTTTGATATATTCCTATTACCATATTGTTTTGGCATTTAATGTCGCTGATGTGTCGACACAATAGATTTTCCTATCATTTTCAAATTTTTTTTAATCACTAATCACTAATTATTTTGTTACATTTTTCATTTATTTTATTTCAGATTTTAAGCTTTTAAGTTATAATTTAATGAAAACTTGGTTTACTGGAAAATCATATTGAAAAGCTGCAAAGCCTCTTTCATCTTATGGGAAGCTGCAAGCATACCGTTACAGTTACAGAGGCCACAAAAGTGGGTGATATCCATTGTAACCCTTTTTGAAAATGAACAACTCCCAACTTCCAATCATCTCACCCTTTGCACTTTCTATCTCTTTCAGCAGCACCCATAAATATACAAAGGAAAATCTCTTCAAATCCTAAATTATTCTTCCTTCAAACTGCAATCAGGTTCTCTGCTTTGAGATACATGTATGGATAACAACAATCCTTTACCAAAGAGGGATAAATAAATGAAGAGAAAATGATAGTTGAGCAAGAAGAAGAAGAAGAAGAAGAAGACAATGATCGCTGAAGTGTGTAAACGGGTAATTTGCATCTGAAAATCCTAGTGCAAATCGATCTTCTAAATTACCGATTTAGGGTTCGTTTTTGTTCAACTTCTCAAATTTTCAATTTTCTAAACCTTTCCCAATTGATTAACTTTGTGTTTGTTGAATTACAGAAATGGCTAAGTGGAAGAATCACACCGCTCACAACCAGTCTTACAAGGCTCACAAGAATGGCATCAAGAAGCCAAAGAGACATCGCCACATTTCCAATAAAGGGGTATTCGTTCTTATCTTTAATTCTTAATTTTCAATTTTAACTAGATTTGAAATGTTCAATTTTAGATTAATGGTTTATTTTTGTTGATAACTATAGATGGATCCAATTTTTTTGAGGAACCAGAGGTATGCCAGGAAGCACAACAAGAAACATTGGGAAGTTGTTTCTGATGCAGAGTAAAGTTTTTGTATTTTCATCCCAGATCATGTCAAATCTCGACTCTGATATTGTTTTGAAGGTTTTTTAATTTAGACAAATTACACAACTCAGTTAGTATTTGTTAAGTTTTTATCATGAATATTTATTTTATGTATTTTGAGTAACTACCATAGTCACTATCCTCAATGTCATAATTTATTTGTAGTGAATTTTGTTAAATTGCAGTGTAAGCATGATTTTGTAAAAGCTTCAAACAATAGCTTTTAATAAAATAAATATGGTTCAATTTGGTTAAATTGCAATATAAGCATGATCTTGGCACAATTGAACTTATGTTGCATTTTGAAGAATAACATCAACAAGTTTTCCCTTTTATACTTTATGTACAAATACTGAAGTTAAAGATGTTTGTTATGATTCCATAGTCTGCACTTTTCACAATTTATATCCAATTTTTTAGAGAAAAATTAAAATATTACACTTCCTGGGTTTTGCGATTACACCATTGCTCAGTAGGTGGATTTTTTTGGAGCATTAAGACTTTATTCTATGATGCAGCCTTTTAATTTCAATATATGGTTTGGACTTTGGATCTCATAACTCTATGATTTAGTTTGTTGTCTTAGTTGTATGTGTTAACAAAATCTATGAAAATATAATACTATGTGATTCAATGTTGAGTATAAATTTTCAGATACTTTATGCTTAACATGTTATACTAATTGATTCAATACTAATCATAATATGCTAAGCATATTATTTGTTTTGCTTTGTAATTTTCGTGTAGGCTTCTTTAAATGTGAAGTTGAATAAAACAAGAGTTGGAAATCCATGGTTCTTTTTCGGTGGCTCATACGCTGGAACATTCAGTGCATGGTTCCATCTTAAGTTTCCCCATTTAACATGCAAAAATCTTGCAACTTCTGCAGTTGTTTATGCTATACAATACTTCACAGAATTTGATCAACAGGCGAACATACTTATTTTTAGTAGAGTTCAGAGTTCCTTCTTATTTAAGTTATGACAAATTAAGTCACGAGTTCATGCAGATGTCTGAGTCGGTTGGTCCTGAGTATAAAGAGATTACGCCAAGAGATTTCAGCCAGGTCACTATTGAATTGCAGAGCATTACGCCAAGAGATTGAACGTTCTTACAGCGACTTCAATGATTGATTATCATTAGTGCGGAATCACAACTTCAATACAAGTGTTGATGCATCCATGAAAAGATAAGTAATTATCACATTTTCTATGGTCTAATCATAATTGATTGTTGTTTATCAATGAAATTACTTCATGTGTCATGATAGTTTACTTAAGTTATGAGCGTTGAGAACTATTCTTTTAATGTTTGATTCTTATTACAGCCTATTTAAGCCATAATTCTTACGCTTAATGACCAATTTCGAATTGTATACGGTCATTAATGGAAGTATGCGTGATTGATGATTTTAAGGCTGAATCATTTGATGCAGGACCTTTAGGGCACATAAAAATTTCTCTATCGTTTGATTATATGTTAGGGAAAAGAATTATTAGGGAGCAGGAAATTAGTTAAAAGTAAATAGGCTATTAGAACTTGGTTAGGCTACTATTAGAAGATTTGTTAGGGCTGTTTGGAAAACTGTTAGTCCAAATAGGAAGGCAACTATGACCATTAATGTTAGTAATTTTGTTATGGCAAGAATTAATCAGATGCGGCTAAACTGCATTGAAGGTCTCGATCGAAGGCTCAAGCTCCACAGAAAAATGGAAGCGAAGGTAACAGCAGGAAAAATGCGAATTTAGAATGGACAATGTTTGACATACCGGTACCGCGATGGCAACGACATTAGAAGTGGTTGAAGGTCATGGATTAGTTTTGTGTTCATCGATGTGAACTGTTTTTATGTTTGTATTTTTCTGTTTCAGGTTGGTGGCTTGTAGAATATTGCTTCCATTCTTCAAGTTATTTCATAGAGAACCAACAGCTGCCATTCCTTCGGTACCATTCATCTGCGAAGACATCATCATCTCCTGTATGATTTTCTGGACTGATCTTTGAGCATCATTGTGGCACTCGTATCTATATAAGCATTAGAAATCAGCCACTTAAATTATTAACTTGTCCATAGGTCCCGTGACTGTTTCTCTATTGTAATCCATAAAGTCTTTCAAGCTATTTACCACTTCTGATGTGTGTATTCCATGACAGTCAGTCACCACAAAAAATACAAAAGACAAGTCCTCTCTTAAGAGAAGACCCTGCTAAGAGATTGATTCAGGAAAATATAGTACACAAAATTTATAGAGACTGTTATATTTTGCAGTCATATTAAGCCATAGAAACCCAAGCAAGTATTCCCTATTCAAAACAAGCAAGGATGAGTTGGGTGATTTGTTCGTAAATATCCCATATAAGCATTTCAAATAAGGTTGGTGATGGAATATGTGCCTGCGACGATGTACAGAGTTCTAAATCACTACAATAACAGCAACCAAAGAATGCCCCTAATTTATGCTTAATTATATACATATCAGTTATGAAGTCTTTTCTATTTTCATTTTGGGTTGGGTATGTTGTTACTCTCTTACTGATGTGAAATTATGTATTGATTTTGTTGGGACGTGGTGTTTAGATCGTTAGAGGACTAGCATATATTCACACTGTAATAAATGTTCCAAATTCTCCATGCAAAATAGATATTTTTTACCCATATTTATGTAACAACAAAGCTTGAGGTATGATCTATACGCAGTTGTTGTGAATTAGGTACTTTAAGAATTATGGTTTTTAGTGATGATGGTTCTTATTTGTCTGGTTATAAGTGAGTTTATGAAAGCTTAAAAATGCAGAAAAATAAAGATACACGGGCGATATATCCTGGTTCCCTTCACAGTCTGAGAGTACTCCAGTCCCATTTCAACATTAAAGAGATTTCCTTATTGTTGCAAACTTAAATGAGAACTACCAACCAAACCAAGAACAATCCTCTTGGATTTTCACTAAGTTACCTATGAGAACAATCCTCTCAATGTAACTACACTTGTATCCAACAACTTGGAAAGACAAGATTTCAACAAAAACACTTAAACTTAATTCCAACAATCTTGGAAAATAAGTAAGTAAATATCAATTTGTGAGTTTGAGTGAGTAGAGTAATATTGATCACTTAGAGTGATTTGACAATGTATAATCTTCTTCTTTCAATAATAATATTGTACAAAGACTCAAGATATATTTGCTCAAAGTTTTCTGTTTGTTAATGTATGAAAATGTGCAGAAAACTTATGCATGAAAATGAAGAATGCTTGAGTTTGTATTTTGAAAGTTCAGAAAATATTTATGAAAGAAGGTGTTAGATCTAGATTTGAAATTGAATATTTATATGTTAATAACACCCTTTTGAAACATCATGAAGATTTGGAAATGTATCATGAACAAATGCCAAGTTTGAGTGAAAAGATGTAATGAAAAGGCATGATGAAAAGGCATGAACAAAGCTGTTATTTTTCAAATTCGTGCAGTATGCAATCGATTGCACCCTTGGTGTAAATCGATTGCACAAGGTTTTTAACAGCTATTTTTTCAAAATCTTTAAGAGTGCAATCGATTGCACTAACAATGTAATCGATTGCATGCAAAGTCAGTAGTAAAAAGTAACTGAGTGCAATCGATTGCACTTGTAATGTAAATCGATTGCATGAGAGACATAAGCAAACATTTTGAAAATTTTAAGTATGCAATCGATTGCATAGTTAATGTAAATCTATTGCACATAGAAACAGAAGCAAAAGATCTGAAATTTTGAAGTGTGCAATCGATTGCACTAAGATGTAAATCGATTGCATGCAGAAGAAAAATGAAATTTTATCTTTGAAAAGCTTGAGTAATGATTCTTAAACATTTCTTTTTCATTTTTGAGCATCTATATCTTAAGATCAAAGTAGATAATATTATTATACCTTTAAAGTTGTTGAGAGCTTTGAATGAAGATATTATCCTTGGATGCTTAGATGCTTGATCATAAATCTTTGCCTTCTTTGTTAGCCATGATTTGTCTTCATCTAAACAAAAGCTTATTTGTGAAGCTTGATTTTACATTCTCCCCCTTTTTGATGATGACAAACAATCTTGCTTTATGCGATGTGCTTTCCGGAAGAGCTTCTCGCCCTAAGATGCAAAACTCCCCCTATGTAGGAGAGGGTTGGAATCCTTTGCAATTCTTCATCTTGATTGGAGAGTACCTTGAAAGTTAAGACACAGAAAATACAAGTATAAAGTACCATACATCTTTCTCCCCCTTTAACATTATCAAAAAGAAGGGAAAGATGCCTAAAGCAAATAATAATAGAGCAATATATTTGAGAAAATTATAGAATTAAAACAGTAACACAAATTGTTTAAGAGTTACACAGAAAATTGAACAAATGAAATATTGAAATATCAAGACAATAACATAACAGAAAAAAACAGTCAGCCAAAACATTAAGGGTGATGCATGTCTGGATGGTTGTAAGACCATGAGCCTTGGTTCGGGAATTGTTATTGAAGTGGAGGTTCTGTGTAATGTGGAGGAGGTGTGTGATACGGTGGGAAGAGAACTGACTGTTTTGGAATGATGGTTCGCGTTTTTCATTTGTTTTCGCAAAATGTCACGGTAAGCAAGAGTCGCCACCGTCTTTTATTTTATCCAACAAGGAAAGGAAAAAAGCACAGAAAAATTCCTTTTTTCGAGATATTTCTCGGGTTCGGGAGGTAGATTATAGAAAGGTAAGGTGTTAGCACCCTTTCTATCCGTGGTTATCCACGGGCTCTTAGGTACTTGCTCAAAGTGTTTTCAAAATTTGCTTTTCTTTGTGTTTGTGGGTTTGAAAAGAGTTTTTGTTTGAAAGGAGTGTAAGTGCGAAACGTTTTGTTTTGAAGAGAGCAAGTACTTAAGAACCATCTACCTACTCGAAAAGGGAATTAAATTGTGCTAATATCCTTTAGACAATGCTAGCCCACTATTGATGAGTAGGTAGCATCGTCGTTGGAGTTTAAGGGTCAATTCGATTAAGGGACGTGTGGTCACTAAAGCAATGTTAGGACGCCTTAGCGGTAACCCTAATGTCTTAGATCATTTTTCTGAGGCAACCGTTTCGAGGCAACTATGATCTTTGTACAAGAGGACGGCCTCTAAAACTTCCTATACTCAATGACCACGTTCGAAGGCAACCAAGTGAGGTGTACCCTAAGAGTGCGCATGTGCGAGTGTGTTATTTCGGTTAATTTTATGTTTGTACATGTCATGGGTGAGCTATGTTGATTTTAAGTTCATACATTTGATCTTGTCATGCATTCCCTATTATCAAACATCTTACAGTGTATAGTTGCGGAATTTAAATTTACGGAAATTAAATCTAAACTATTACAAGGCGTCGGTTATTTACATCGCCAAAAACAACCCTTTAATTTAAATTGCGGAAAGTAAAATAAAGTGATAAATAATTAAAGTCCTAATTAAAAGCTATTACATTCCGGAAGCAATTACAATAATAAGACAAAATTGATCGCGTGCGAGAAAATTAAACCGGCGTATTTTTTAGGGTTTTGACCCTTTTTATGAAAGAAGGAGATTTTTTTGTTATTTTTTGAATTAAAAGAAATTAGATCTAAATTAACAATTAAATTAATTAATGAAAATATTTTTGGATTTTTGAATATTAAAGGAAATAAAATAATTTTAATCAAAGTTAGTAAAAACCTAATATTCTATATTGATTTTAATTTTTTTTTTTGCAAAAAAATCATTAAAAGTTATATCTATTTAAAACTAAATTAATTAGGTTAATATTTATTTACAAAAATAAAGTCAAATTTAATTTTA